CTCGGGCTGACTCGAACCACTGTTGCTCAGAGCTCAAACTCTTGAGCGAGCTCTTAACCAACTGAGCCACTCAGCCGGCCCTTATAAGTAGTTTTTATAAGTGTTAACCATTATGATTATGATGAATACCACAGCTTCTGCTGTTAATGTTATACACATTAATATAGAGCTGGCTTTTTCTAGAAATTTTCATGCAGTCTTTCAAAACAAACAGCCAATTAATTGATAATGTTCCAAACTAAGGCTAGTAAGAGTAAATATATTATTCTTTTCATTTAAAATTAGATAAAAACTGAGAAGATTTAAATAGATTGCCTTATTGTAAATGATTCATCTACTGTATCTTTAAAAACTGCTCTTGAAGTTGTTTTGGTTGCTTTGCTTTTTCTAGACGCTGGAGCGGTCCTATTTGTTGAAGATCAATGGAAAAGGTGAGAAATGAACATGTTTGTGTGTTTTATTTTTTGTTCATTATACTGAATATAGAGCTTTGAACTATTAGCCTTAATGTTTCTATTTAAACTCTTAACATTTTTAACTGTAGGTTTAGTTTATGAATAATTGTCTTGCTTATTGGTATAAAAATTTTTTTAATTGTGTTTTGGTGTTCCTTTTTCGACTCAAGTACATGTCTCAGCTTAGTTTTTCTGACATGTGCCATCATATGAAAACTCCTTTTTTTTGTTTTTGTTTTTGTTTTTAGTGGCTGAAAGACCTCAACATATGTTGATGAGGGTATCTGTGGGGATTCACGAAGAAGATATTGATGCTGCTATTGAAACATACAACCTTCTTTCTGAGAGGTGGTTTACCCATGCTTCTCCCACTCTCTTCAATGCTGGTACAAACCGCCCACAACTTTCTAGGTATGTGTCATCTGTAGTTGCTTTTAAAGTTCTGAAATGGTTTTGACTAGGGAAATAAACCTTGGCCCAAAGAAACTAGGCAGTTCATCACAGAAAAATGAACATTTAATCACTCCTGCTATGATTAAATTAGATTTGCATTATGAAAAGATCTCTTAGGTGTGGTAAATGAATTGGAGAGAGACAAATGCTGGTAATGAAATTTTAAACTTGATTGTGGTGATGCTTGTGCAAGTCAGTGAATATACTAAAAACCACAGATTACATGATTTCTATATAGGAAATTCAAGAGCATCTACAAATAAATTATTAGAATTGAAAACATTTCAGTAAAATATTTAGATATATCCAATGCAAATTAATTGTGTTTCTGTACTTCACATGTTCAAAGATTAAGTTTTAAAGTATGTTTGGTTTTTTTTTTGTTGTTGTTGTTGTTTTTTTTAGCTGAGCCATCCTGCCACCTGTTGGCAGCTTAGCGGCAGCTCAGCTCGGGCCGGGCATTGAACCGCTGTTGCTCAGAGCTCACACTCTTGAGCGAGCTCTTAACCAACTAAGCCACTCAGGTGGCCCCTTTAAAATATGTCATTTATAATACTGGAAGGTACCCAGGAGCAAATCTAATAAAAGATATGTAAGGCTTTTAAGGACAAAATTCTAAAACATAGTTGAAGGACATAAAAAAATAAATGGAGACTGATTTTATATTAAGACATGGATTTAATATTGTAAAGATGTCAGTTTTTCCTAAGTTAATCTGTAGACTGAGTGTAACTCCAGTCAAAATTCCAACATGCTAATTCTAAAATTTATATGAAAGAGCAAAAGACTGAGAATAATCTAGTAGGCTGCTCAAAGGTAGGTCCTAATCCCTGGAACCTGTAAATGTCACCTTACAAGGAAAAATGATCTTTGCAGGTATGATTAAGAAAAATCTTGACATAGGGAGATTATCCTTAATTATTCAGGTGGGCTCTAAATCCAGTCAAAAGTATCTTTATAAGAGAGAGGCACAGGAGATAGAATACATGCAGAAGAAAAAAAGGCAACGTGAAGCTGGAGACAGAAATTGGAGTGATGTGGCTACAAGCAAAGGAGCCACAGTGCTGGAAGAGGCAAGGAATATATATATATATATTCTCCCCTAGAGCTCTGCAGGAGTATTCTTTTTTTTTAAATTTTAAAAAAATTTTTATTTATTTTTTTTATTGTTAGTTTCAGGTGTACAGAACAATGCAATAGTTATCCTTTTCA